CCCCCCCCCCCCCCCAGTGAATTTTGTCTGTTTCATACTCTCACGACTTATTTATTTTTTAATATTATCCAACTCAACTGGAAATGACTATCATCGTTTTCAGGACGCTCGACAGGTTATCCTAACACCAGGGTTTCGTGGTTATCTCCAGTCTCTTCAGGAACATAACGGGATACCACTTTTTAGTAGGCCACGGTCACTTCCCTTCCGTAAACTGGGCTAGCTCAGTCAGTGGCTTGCTACGGGATCCGATTTCTGACGGGCAAGTTTGTCTGCAAGTCACCGTGTTCAGACCGGCATATGTTTCCAAGGTCTCTTTCCTCCGTAAAACGACCAGAACCTGAAATTGACCGCTCACTTTCATCAAGTGCCGTTGCCCAGAATGCGCCATATGCAGTCCATGAGGTTTCTAGTAACAAACAAAGAAACGAAAGCTTCCTTGTTCATATTAGTGTATTTCCATGTTGTTTTGTTACATGTTAACTCTGATTTTTTTAAATGTAGGACACGCACTGTGTGTCTAAAGTTATCTTTGTACCATTTAGTTACGTGGATCAGTTTAGTAACCGAGTGAGTGTAAGTACAAAATCATATTGTTAAGAAAAGTGTCGTCCTCTTACATCCTCAAAAATAACTGATCGGTATTTATTGTTTTTCCAACAGTTTTCCTTCCACAAAACGGTATTTGCTAGTTGCTGTATTGTCTTATTTATTATATTCACGGATTAGGTAGCGTAACAACTGCAAAACCCTCTGTTTTAATTACCACCTGTCTGTACCCATTCTGTGCGTGCGTGGTCTTTGCATCTCTTTTAATGAAAAAATTAATTAAATAATCGAACTTCATTTTTTGTCGAATGTATTTCTTCCTTTGTTTCACGTAATGGCCGCATCTGTTAACTATTTACAGCCGGTATAACGAATGTATAATTTAAAATATTTACTGTTTTTTTTACAAATGAACATAAATTACGTAATCAGGAATTTCGTAATTTATGTAGGTCGTTTGGTTTTGTTAACGACGGTGACATGAAGGATACTACTATTGGCTGGACGTGTAGCTTGGATCGTCGACTCTGTGGGACTCTTGGAAACCTTCCACTTCGAAGACTTACAAAAAGCTGAAAGTATATTTGAGGAATACGTTGTGAGGCTGGGAGGTACACACCTAATAGCAGACCTGGCATTATTAGACGTATTAGTTCAGTTAATATCTGAATTCATTGTTAGGGTAGTGAAAACTGAGATACATTGATGGCGTAGATATGTGAAGGAAGATTATGTATGTCTAATTCAGATGGGGAATCTTCAGGGAAGCCCCCGCTTGATATACGAGCCGTAGATACGAGGATCATCTTTAGAGTGCGAAGATGAAAGATGGATGAAGCTGGCTTAAGATCGCGTTCAGTGGAGCGTTTAAATGTTGGCGGTGTTGAACCTTTGGTTCTGGTTCTGTTAATTATTATCTCCGATTACGTACTAAATATTTGCCTTTTATTTTATACCCTACAACAGCGACGTTTTTTTAAGTGGAATTGGTTCTCTAACGTGTATCGGACTTAGTACTCATGATCCTTCGGCCATATGGTTCGGTGTAGGAACTTGCTGTGAATACAGAGCCATGAACTTTGGAGAGATATTGGCCTCTTGTGTCGATAGAAATCACTGACCGGCCTTCTCATCATCATCGAACTTCTTCTGTGACACGAAGGGGCTATTTACCGGTGTCTTGTGTTATTGTCTCTTTTCCCTTTTTAGGTTGCTGGACTGTGAAGGTAGGCGGACGATGAGGAGAGGGGGTAGATCAGGCAGGATACGGGTAGGTTGGTCGCAATGTTGCCCAACCACATCTAGTCGTAGCAGACTCCAACCTATCTGCCGGCTGCTTGCTGCCTGCCTGCCAGTTGGTGACTGGACTCTGTGGTTGAAAGCCATGACGTTTTGGGTCCTGTGCAAGGGATGCAAGATATCTCCATACTCAAGAACAGTTGCTAGTTCTAAATAACTTGATGTATTGAATACATTTGACCTACGAAACTGATTGGGCGGTGCGAAGAATTTGTGTTTCTCTTACCTAGTATCACCTACCATGAATTATGAAATTATACAAGGCTTTTCAAAGAATCGTATTAAAATTCGTATAAAACATTTGCAGTTATTTGGACTTTGAGAGACTATATCTTGTTGCAATATGAGACAATGATGTGATTGAAAATTTATGCTCAAGAGTTCAACAACAACAAAAAATTAACTGTGAAATATCGTAATTTAAAATCGGCATATTTAATGAAAAGTTAACACTTTTACATCATGTGGCAAACGTAGGAGGACTTATTAAGCAACACCGATAAACGATCGTGGCAGCTGCGAACTAGTTACGAACTAATGTCAGCTTATTTGAATGGTTTGGAGTGTTGAAAGTGTAACAGTGCATTAACAGTGACAGATACTAAACTCTTCTTGAAATCAACTAAAAAAGAGAAGGTTACTGACACGACGTAGCTGAGAGCCGTGGCCAACTTATGCTGTAACCCACGTGAGTATTAGCTTCTTTCCGATAATCATGTTTATCTAGAACTTACGCCACAATTTTGTTTGGCAAAATCTAATTTTATGAAGGCATTAAGAATTAGCCATATGTCACACGCATGTAAAGAAATTCCTTACCCCTAGCAACTCTGTTATTTTCACCATTCCTGACTTTCGGTGACCAGGTTTTTAAGCCCGTTCGTATTGTCTTTACAGATTAGGTACCTTTACGCCTTAAAATTCTCATTTTAAAGTCTTCCCCTCATATTTCGACTGTGTTTATAACTGTCTTCTGCCAGTTATCTCTACGTTTGTCGTCTACTTGGCTTCTAAATCTCTTCCTTCATGTAGTAATCTCTTCTGTATTACCGATCTCACGTTTGTCGTGCTCTTCAATGTTTGGCATTTGACTATCCACTTACGAGTCCTAAATTCGTTCCTGCCACGTCTGTTTTCTTTCTTATCACCTCTTTTCCGTGACTCATACCAGTTAAACCAGTATTTTGTGTAATTTAAAGTATATATTGGGCATTATTTTAAATTTCTGCAAATTATTTTACTTGTAATCCTTTTTAAACCTCTCTTTGTCTCTGGAATTATTGATTTAGTATATATCATAGGCTTTTCTTGCAGAATGTTTCTCTTTGCAGTTTACCTACTGTTTTTGTTTTAATAACAAAGTTAACACGAACAAACGTTTAAAACCGTAAAGGTATGAAGGTAGCTACTGTGAGACGCGATTGTGTTATAGAGTTATATATACAAATGCACGTTTTTATTTCTCATATTCCTTTTACTTTCGTAGTAAGTAACGTCACAGAAAATCATATTTATTACGTGAATGTTATTCTTGGGACCAACTCATGTGACTGGCCGGCCTCAAATAGCACAGCTGACAGCACTTTCCAATGTAACTTATCGTTTTTAATGCAGTAAGCATTGCTGTATTTTGCAGTGGTTCCCGAAAGTTGTTTCCGTGGAGGGTCCTGGTGAACTACTTTAATTTATTTAATTTAATTTATAATACGCCATGGTACAGATAACAAAGATGAGAAGAAATTAGTTTAAACTGCATTTAATTTATTTTATATATGTATATTGGTGCTGAAGTGCCCTGAGGATTGAGACAGTGTGTTCTTCTGAAACGTTAGTATTTACCTTGAAGTCCATACGGCGTTACAGCCCAGAAGACCAACATCGACGTTGGAAGCTGTGCCAGGTTATCGTGAAATAGTTGCCAATTTTTGTCTGGCACTACTCGGCACCTCGTGGCAATTCCATGCTAAAACGAGGAAAAGTGAAGTTTTAATAACACAAAAATTTTCTTGGTGGTTGGTGATACAATAATGGCCCTGTGAAGAAATCAAAATTGCTTCCTGAAGGAAGCTTGAACTGCGATTTATATTTCTAAAACGTCAGTTAACACACATTTAAATACACAGGCATGAAAGAAATTGATAATCCCGTTAATACCGTACGTCTGGCCACTGTGTAAGATTAAGAAAATGTGAACTTTATTTGCAGAAAGTTTCTTGACTTTATGAGAATACTTGGTGTACATTTTTAAATACCGCATTGCAATAGATTCTGCACGCCGTTGTTGACTCATCAAAATATCTTTGGTGATGTAAAAAATTAACCTTTGGGTGCGTGGTAAGAACGTTCTGTGCAGCCTTCAAAGACCATGCTTTCGGTTACAACACTGGATCATCAAAGCCTGTCTAAGAGAGTGTACGGATTTCTTACCTCACACCACAGACATTGCCATACGTTGAACAGAGGACGAAAATCAGAACTTGTGAGATTTCAGGTTCTTATGGCTGCGAGTATGAAGATGGCTATCTTCTGGGTTGTTACGCCGTCTAATCTGGTAGAAGCTTACCGACGTTTCAGATGTCCTTATTGCCTTCTGATCGTCTAGAATTAGGAAAAAATGTAATGTGATTTTACCTGGAGCAGCTTCTAAAGAAGTCGACGACTGATTTATCTTCGACACTGCCTGGCTTAAATAACTTCATTGTCCACGGCATTTTTTAGCAGTCGGTAATTGCTTGCTTCAAAGGAACGTACGGAGTTGATTGAGACGTGCCTTGCTTTTGAAGGATTTCGGTTTGAATTTTACTCGGGGGCCGGCTATATTGTCTGTAAAACTCGACTCTCATGTCAAGTTCTATTTGTGTGTGGAAGGAAGCGGTCGTGTCCTACTTTGAGGCACTATACCAGCATTTGTCTCCAGGTACTTAGGAAAACCGCGAAATATATCTGTGAGAACAGCCGTGTCCGGATCG